AGAGAGAGAGAGAGAGAGAGAGAGAGAGAGAGAGAGAGAGAGAGAGAGAGGCTGTGTGTATAGGTTTCCTAACTTTGGGTGTGTACACTTGAATAGCTAGTGTTAAGAAACAACACTACCCAAGAGATGGAAGGAGCCTGAACGGAATACTCTGGAGACATTTTATATATTGTTATCTTACACAAACAGAAAACACTTTAAATGTTGACACTAGAAAAATAAAAGTTCCTGAGAACAACAAATTCCTTATAACTTATAAGATATGCCAACAATATAACGGATATAAAAATTTACCTTACTCTTTTTAGGGGAAACTTAGATTTTAGTTTATGACCTTTCCTTAAAAGAGAATAAATTTTATCCACCCCTACAACAGTCTTCTGATAAGGCAAAGAATTACAGTTACACTCCATTCTACTTTTGTTTAGGAAAAGAGGAATACAGTCTTCAAATGACTTGAAAAGAATATAGATGAATAAAAGAATATAAATTTAGAAAAGGAAACTCAAGAACATCCCTGCACTCTGAGAAAACATTCTGGTGTACTTAGTGACCACAAGCAACCTAGACCTTGGTTTTTATGTCTCTTCTGAAAGAAAGCACTTCCAACACAAACAATATTTCCCAACCTTGTAGAGTAACCCTGGATTGGTGCAGACGTAAAGGGAGAACACCAGCCATTGAATAACTCTCAACCACTTCCTGCCATCCTGAAACATTCAGTGGAGGTCTATCACTTCATTATTGAACATGCTTAGAAAGTGTGCACTCATATGTTTCCGGTTGAAGGTACACCTAAGCCAGAGAGGAAAAAGAGAAGTACAAACAAACCACCCTACCCTACCCAACTTCTTTTAACTCTTCAAATGACATTGCCGGAGACAGCAGACTTGAGAATAATCAGCCCGACATCTAAGTAGACAATTTTTTCTTTCTTTCCTGCAGTATAGAGTGCTTTTATATTATCAAAGATGAAAAGGAACATTTCACTTTAAAATAAATGGTGATGGAACATTAAAAAAAATCTTACCACAGCAAGAGGAGTTCTAACCAAAATAGTTGCTTATTATGTACTACCTTGACTTTTAAAATGAAAATTAGGGTCATGATTTGTACAAATACTTCCCCAGAAACTGTCATGACCCCTTGAGTCAGATGTCTTCACCTGCAAATCAGCCTATAACTATGTTACAAACCCCTTTATGACCTGACCAACTGATAGCATACATTGTGTCTACATTAAAATTGTCAAAAACCTTATTCTTATTCTTCAATAAAGCTTTCCTGTGAATTAACAGGAAGAAAATCTTTATGCTTGTAACACTTAGAAAAACAAAAGCAGTTCATCTACCACTCACATCTTATAGATGAGGAAACTGAAGTCTACATATCCGTGAGACCACACTGGGTATTTGTTTTTACCCCCACAATGATCTAGAAAGCAGTTAAGTGTCCACTGTCAGAACCCCAGGCTCCTGACAGCATTCTTTTCAATATATCACAGTAAAACACTCCTTCAGGTGGCTATGGAAACATCAACAGGAATGAGTGTGTTTCCCTACTTCCTGAGAGAAGTTCGTTCTGGTCCACAAGAGCTCTTCTATGCAAGAGCGGAATGAAAATAATCTACTTTGGGAACACTGTATTACTCTAAGACGTCACATTATCATCCGAGGGCTGTTAACCACTTCTGGACTGGAGTCTTCTTTAATTGAGAGCAAGAGACATTCTCAGTTCTGAGAAAAGTTCTTCAAAAATTACTGACTGCTGTTCATACATTTTACCCACTAGTTTTGTCTGAGACTTTTGACAGTGCTCAGGTGCACTGACAAGTATGGCTCCATTGAGACACGTCATCCACAGTTTTCAGCCTGAGCCCACTTCCTAAGTCCCCATGCCATTCTTTCTCTAGCCATGGCCTTTCCGAGTCCCAGGTGCACTGAAAACCAGAGATGGTCAGAAGAAGGAACAAGGCAGCAGAGTAACAGGAAGAATAGGAGAGTCATAAATCTGCAATGGGAAAATTGGAATAAACTGAAATAGGCAAAAGAGAGTATTTAGGAATCTGAGACATTTTGTCATCTAAAGACTCAGCTTTTAAAATTCTGGGGCTCTGAGAGAATAAAAGCCCAAATCATCTCATAGTTACTGGTAGAGCAGATACCAGAAGCCTGGTATGGCATAATAGCTTCCATTGCTTCTATGGTTGTTTCTAGTACTTCTGTGATGCTTCTATCCTATAATATTTAGTGGCTCTAAAAACAATACTAATAAATAACAACAGTTACAGCATTGATAGTGGTTCAATTTACTGAGCCTATCATGTGTAAGTCATAATACGAGATACTGTAGGATGTACAAAGATGAGCAAGATAGAATTACTGGTCTCCAGTTTCTTATCATCTGTCAGAGGTAGACACACACAAGGAGAACACCAGGTTCTGGGAGCCGGAGGGAACATACTGATACAAAAGTCCCAAGCAAGCTTTTTTCTAGCCGTGGTGTTTCCTCTACTTAAACACAAAATAACTCCAGCCCCTCAATAATGCTCACACTGTTGGGCCGGCCGAGTGGCACGTTGGTTAAGAACTGGCTTGGGATGCCAGAGGGCCCCGGTTCGGATCCCACATATGAGGGCCAGTGACACTGCCCTCTACAGCTAAGATGCTGAACAACAGCTCAACCTGGAGCTGGGCTGCCGTGAGTCGCTAGTGATGGCGTAGGCTGCAGCCCCTGTGGCAGTGGGTTGCCATGGGCTACTGTGTGTAGCCAGCAGCCAGCGTGAGCGGCCAGCAGCCGCTGTGAGCGGCCGTCCAGAAGCCGGCGACTGATCTGCCTCGCCTGGGAAGAGCGCAATGATGGTGCCAACTTGGGCCAGTGAGGCGACGTCCTCCACAACTAGACTGAAGAACAAAAGGACAGCAACTTGTCTGTTCCCTTCCCCCAATTCCCCAATTAAAAAAAAAATAATGCTCACACTGTTGAATGATGCTATGTGTAAGAAACCATTCTAGGCCCTTGAGATACAGTGGTAGACAGACAATATCTCCACCTTTCAGGACCTATGTTCTAGTTGAGAAGGTAAGAAACAAAGCAATGCCGAGTATATATTAGATTGTTGGAAAAGTCATGACACATTTTTGCAATGAAAAATAGAAAAAGTACGTCATGACTTTTCCGACAACCCAATAAGATCACTTCCCATAACGCTAAGTATTTTATTGAAAATAAAAGAAGGTGCGGTGGCCAGTTAGCTCAGTTGGTTAGAGCGTGGTGCTCATAACACCAAGGTTGCTGGTTCAATCCCCACATGGGCCACTGTGAGCTGTGCTCTCCTTAAAAAAAAATGAAAAGAAAAGCAGGTGATGTAATAGTGAATGAAATGGAATTGGGGAACAGGCCACCTCAGCTTGGGCACAGGGAGGAGAGCATGCGGTGATGTCTCTGTTTGAGTTGAGCCTGAAGGATGAGAAGAAGTGAGCCATAGAAAGACCTGGAGTGGGAGTGTTCCAGAAACAAAGAACAGCAGGGGCAAGTTCTGAGGAAGGAATGAATTTGGCTGTTTGAGAATAAAAAGGCTAGTCTACCAAAGCATAGCAGAAAAGGGAGAAGGGTAGAAGATGAAGTCAGACAGGTAAGAAAACATTTCCCAGGTCATGTAATGACTTACAATGTGACCTCTTGTTAATAGCACTCAAGAACAACTTGACAGATTGAATTCAGAGAATTTTCAGGAATGAGACTTCTTAGGTTCCTTAACCCAGTGTCATGTTTTCATAGGTGAGAAAACCGACTTGATTAATCTATGAGGTTTACCCTATGGGAGAAGAAATATAGGTTATTATTCCCAGGGAATAGATGTGAATTTAGCAATCTGTCTGTGGCCGATTCATAATTCCCTCCCCTGAAAGATGGATAGTAACATTCTATGCCCCTCTGACTTTAGAAGGAGAGAAATCTCGTTTCTCAGATTCTTACAAGACCACCTGCCTTGTGTCTGGTCACAGGCAAATCTGTCAGCCTGGAAAACAGAAATTGTTTGGGCCAAAGAAAGTTTGTATTTTGGAAACGAAAGCACTAGTTTCAGCAAACAGGCCGCCACAGTCACATGTCACCCTGGAAGCACCTTCCCCAGTCAGCATGTCCCAGCACTATGCCCACAGTTGTCAGCTTGCTCAAAACAGCTGTGCTAGAATCAGGCATGAGCAAGGGCCCCAGCCATTTCCCCTTCCCCTGAACTTCTAAAAAACACAAAAACTCACAGAGCTGAGAGAGAAGCCAATAAGAAGTAAGGAACGTGCAGCAGGTGGTACCATCTGTGCCTGG